AAAAAAAAAAAAAAAAAAAAAGAGTTACTTGTAAATGCTTCTATAGTCAGATAGATATCTCAAATATCTGTCTTGAAAATAACCAGAGAACTAGAAGAATCACTGAAAATCCATTCCTTTGAACATTAGGAAAGAAGTATATCTTTATGCAGGATAACATTATTGTCTTATATCTGAATACTTACTTTCTATTTAGTTGGTTAGGTCTCTTGAAAACTGCAGCTGTCTTCCTCTGCACTTCATTTTGTCTCAGAAGGTTTGCCTTCCTTTTTAACGCTGGAAAATATCGTTCTATATTCTTTCAGAAGGCAAGAAATTATGTTAATCAGATTGCTTTTTGCTATACAGCCTATTACAATAAACATTTCTGAGGCAGAATGGACAGGGACTGACCACTGCTTAGGTGTGCAGGTTAGAGAGAGAAGCTAAAACGACTTGAATATTTCCAGACTAAGTGACTGTAAAGACAACCACATTATACTTAAAATTCTTGCAACAAAAGCAGAATTTGGACAGAAAAATAAATTTGTTCTATTTTAGATCTGTTCAGTTTGAGGTGTTCTGAAGGATGCATAGGTGATGGGGATCTGGGCTTAAGAGAAGAATCAGAGAGCCAGGAATATAAATTAGGGAATCATTTATATAAACAGCGTTTTTTGATATCAAGTAAAGGGATAAGAAGGCCAAGTTCCAAAACAAATGTGTGAGAAAGAAAAAAAGAGAAGGTTGTAACAGCAAAGAATGGTTACAGAGAAAAAATGGAATCAAGAAAACTCAGTTATCATAGAAAACAAGCACATGAAATGTCCACTTTTTTCCCTCCCCATATATAACAAATTCAATCCATCATTAAAGCCTAATTCATGTATCCATATTTTCCATGAAGCAGTTTCAAAAGTCCTTGACAATATGGACCAAATATTAATCTGGATTCCCTTATATTTTAATCATATGTGAAGTACTTCATAAATATCAATAGACAAAAAACTGTAAAAGTTATAAATCTTCATTTTCTTGAACATTTGGAAAATAAGTAAATATAAAAACTGGGATAAAGAATTATGAGGAGTATAAGAGAAATGCTATGAAATCAGACTAATGGCTCATTCCAAGCTTTGTATTTTGTCTTTAATGATACACTTCTTTAAGCAAACGTAGAAGATCCTTCTGTGACACTGTTATCACGTTATTTTCCTTCCAAGTACCTGCCGTATTATAATCATATAGTTATTTGTGATTATTTAACGTTTATCTGAGTTTTCCATAAGGACAGGAATTTTCTGTTGAATTACTGCATAATTTCTTGCATCTAGCACACAGTAGGTACTCAGTCAACATTAGTTAAATGATAAATACATGGCCTAGAACTATAATAATCCATTAATATATGATGAATTTGTGTTCCATGGATCTAAGATTTATATATGTGTATACATGAGTTTTTAAAAGTACAACTAGGGGTAAGTTTTTCTTTCATAGTAATTTTTTTTTTTAAATGAAAGACAACAAGCATTTCTTTGAGATCCAAAATAGCTATTCAGGCCTCTTTTCACCATCTTTCTGTGTAATCTAAAGATGCTGCCATAATGGTGCCCATGAATGTCACGGTCAATGCTCTGAAAAGCATCGACAAAGCCAAAAACAAAGGCAAACACCAAGTTCTTATTAGGCCATGCGCCAAAGTTGTCATTCAGTTTCTAACTGTGATGATGAAGCATGGTTACATTGGCAAATTTGAAATCACTGATGATCAGAGAGCTGGAGAAATTGCTGTGAGCCTCATGGGCAGGTTAAACAAGTGTGATGTGATCAGCCCAGATTTGATGTGTAACTCAAAGATCTAGAAAAATGGCAGAACAACCTGCTCCCATCCTGTCAGTTTGGTTTCATTGTACTGACAACCTCAGTGGGCATCACGGACCATGAAGCAGCAGCAAGATGAAAATACATAGGAGGGGAAAATTCTGGAAAGTCTTTTTCTAGGGATGTAATACATACATGCAAATAAAATGTCTCAACGAACTATTAAAAAAAAAAAAGGCTATTCAGGAAGCACTGATTAATGCCGAACCCAAATAGTGTTCTCTCACAATAATTTTGATATAAAAAATTATTCCTTGAGCAAAAGAAATCGAGTTAGTTTATTTTTCATGTTAAATTTTATTATTTACATATATTAAAATTTTAAGTGTATAGTTTAATTACAGAAAATCATAACCAGGCAATGACTCATCTGTTACTATAGTTTCACCTTTTTTACAATTTCAAATACAGGTCCTCGAATAACATCACTTCACTATAATGTTGAGGAGACGCCATCAGACCATAACTCTTACCCAATATAATATTGTATACCAACTACACTTAAACATTTGTTTTAAAGACTTAAAAAAGAAAGAACCTAACTCTTGTTTATATCAGTCAGCCTATGGTAAAATTGGTTTTGTTGTACATCCTTTTGCTTTAAGTCACAGAATCTCTGTACAGCGTTGAGGACTTACCTGTAAATGGAATCACACAATACCTAGTCTTTTGTGTTTGAGTTCTTTTGCTTAGCATGTTCTGATACATGCTGTCTTGTGTATTAACATTTATTCCTTTTTTATTGCTGAACAGAATTCCATAATATGGAGATAAGGGGTTTATGTTTAACTTCAAAATCAGACAAATGATTGAAACTACCTATTAGTAGAAAACAACTTCTACATATATCAACAATTTTTTTAAGTTCACAGAAGTACTAAATGGTTTAAGTATTATCAAAGTCAAGTTGAAAGTTCTACAGAGCATTAATTTCAGGAAATTTGGAATCTAAAAGGAACAAGTTATAGAACTGACACTGACAAAGTTCTATATTTCAATAGAAAAATCCCTGAATAGCGTAAACACAACTTATACTTGATATTTTAATTTGACTCTCTCTAACCAAATATAAAATTCATTATTAGATACAACCATTCCCCTCTTATCACAGCCATTTGCTGTATTTACAATAATGTAAATGAGAATACTCTCTCACTTAGTCATTCATTTCATAGGTAAGAAAACATATATTTTTATTTAAATAAAATCTCACCAATTTATATAAACTATGGTAAGGAAGAAATAAAGTAACAGAAAGTCAATTTATGTCAAAAGTTTTTAAAGTGTAAAATTTCCAAGTACATATAGCAATTCAAGGCCAATTAAGTTATTTAGGTGACTTGTTTAATGAATAGAAAAGGATAATATAAATTATTTATATATAAGTAGAATTTTCTAAATTGCTGGAAAATCATCTGCTTCACAATTACTATATTGTATCCTAATCAGACTATTAATCTGTGTTTGGGTTGAGAAAAGGGTTTTTAAAAGAAACACCAAATTTCAAACCATATTTTTGACAAAATCATTCAAACTTCAAATAAATAGATCTTATTATCCAGTACATTTTTAGCACTCTATAATTTAACATTTTCAATTTTCATTATTTTCAAACAACTACCACATATGGTAACTTAAAATTTTTTACTGGAGCAAGTAATTAGATTAGTTAGTAGTTAAACCCAAACTCCCTTCCAGTATCTATATCCCATTAATGTTTTATAATTTCTAATAAATAGTAAGTTCCATGATAAAGTTTTAGAGAACAGAATATCTGTTGGTGGTGACAGAATTGAAAAGTTAAGAATTCTAGTTCTTAACCAGAATACACACATTTAAGACAATTTAAGGAATAAATGTTCTGAATTTTTTTACAAGTACGTATTACTTTCATAATAAGAAAAACCAAAAAGATTAAAAAATAGAAGAGTAGAACATTAAATTCCTTAGTAACTCAGACTTACTAAACATAACAAATAAAAGAAAAACGATTTGTGAAACTATTTTTAAGAAATGCTTTGGTCAATTCAAAAATTACTCATTGAGATGTAAATAAAATTAGTTAAAATTTGAGAAGTAGTTAACTTATGGTAGGTAAATAATTGTTAACTCTAATTAAAAATATCAACTAGGGGATAGTTATCTATGAAAGGGAAATGAAAACCTACATCCATACAGACTTACAAGTGAATGTTCACAGCAACATTATTTACATACCTAAAAAGTGAAAACCACCAAAATGTCAATCTACTGGTGAATGGATAAACAAAATATGGTATATCCACATAATGGAATGTTATTCAGTAATAAAAAGTAATGAAGTATTGATACATGCTACAACATGAACTTCCAAAGCATTACGGCTAAATGCCAAACCACATATTATTATATGATTCCATTTATATGACATATGCACAAAAGACCAAGTTACAGAAAATTGACTGAAAGTAGTAGACTAGTGGTTGCGTGGGGAAGATGATGAAGTATGACTGAATGAATATGAGATTTCTTTTTAGAGTAATAGAAATGTTCTAAACTTAGATTATTGTGATGATTGTATAACCGTAAATTTTCTAAAATTCATTAAATTGTATGCTTTAAACAAATGAATTTTATAATATAAAATTATAACTCAATATTCTGTTAAAAATTGTACACACACACACACACACACACATACACACACACGAGTAAAGAACCTGTAAAAAAAATTTATATTTGTGAATGTGGAAATTTAGGTATTATTCATGAATGACAATGATTTCATCTAATTATAATTTTTTATATAAACCCCAAAGTACTACATAAAAAACCAAAATATTCAAATGAAATGCTCTCTGAAGGTCATTCACAGAAATACTAGTACGAATAAAGGAAAAGGGTATCTGACTCAGGACTAAGCCATCATCCTACCTTGTCACTTAGAGGTGGTCGATTCATAGGGCTAATTCCTTTACGAATTCCGGTTGCTTTCCTAGCTGCAAGTCCAGTGATAACTCCATAAGGACGTTTCTTTCCAGGCATCACTCTTCCTCTACGACTCAGACTATTCTTACCAAAACCTGTAGAAGGAGAAAAAAAAAGAAGAAAAAAAAAAAAAAAAGAATGCAACTGAGGGGCTCACAGGTCACAAGATAGTCTATTTCTTAAGCAGGGTGAAGGGTATGAGTGTTTTATTTTTATCTATTATTTATATAATATCTCTTATAGTATTGTATTATTATTTACACATATTTTTTGAATTACATAAAAGATCTCATTTTTAAAGAGGCAATAAGTTGCACTGGAAATGGTTCTGTTGTGGTAATGAACTACAAAGGACTAAGGATTCTCATGTTTCCCCACTAGCTACCCTCTATCTTCGGCATTACTTTCTCAACGAACAAGACAACCTCAATTCTCCCTGTGCAATGTGGTAGGCACTAACCACTATTGGTTACTGAATACCTGAAATACGACGAGTACGAAATGAGATGTAACAAAAGAATGTGCAATATTTCATTAATAATTTTATTATTATATGTTCCAATGTTATTCTGGATATATTGGGTTAAACAAAATATATTATTAGTATGTGGCTCACATTTTATCTCTGTTGGCGCTGATGTAGAGTGAAATCACTATCTTTATCTATTTACTTACTACATTGCAATCTGGCTTCTTTATTTTCAGTCCTACTGTATTCACACTGCTTTTGTTAAAGTCCCCAGTGACTTCCAACGGACATATTTTGATCTCTGTGGCATGTGACTTTATTGATTTTGCTTTTCCAGCATGTATCTTACCGATTTACTTTTTCTCTTTTTTTTTTTTTT